TGCTTAATAAATATCAGTGGAATAAATGAGTAGGTAACACTTTAGTACAGATTTGAAAGTAACAGACATGCAATTCTGGCAATCAAGAGTAGATTAATAATAAAGTTGAATAGAAAAAGATAACAAGATGAAGAATATGAACTCTGAGTTAGGAGGCCCTAGTTCAATATTTGACTCTAGTTCTTTGAAATATACACTTGAGTTATTGCTTTTTTGGAAAGACATGTATTTCACTTTTCAAACTAAAATGGGGATAATCTATTATGCCTTAGCCACAGACATGGCTAGCCTACAAAAATTTATGGAGTAATCAAGATTCTCTATGCTTCCTCCCTTTTTCCTTTCAGTATCTGTTTTCCTTTTGGATAACTCCCAAGCCCAATCAATACCCTTATATTCTTTTCTACCCTAACAAATGTTTTCTGGATTAACTGTTAGAAAGTATGTTATTAACTTATTCATACAAAAGGAATAAAAGACTGATTATGAAATTATTTTGGGATAGGTGGAGGTACCTAACATTTAATAAAGGAAAATATCTCTACTGAAGAAAACAAAAAAACCTGTCTAATTTGAAATTCAGGCACCATACAGGCATCATTCACATCTGTTCTTTTAAAAATACTGCACCATTTTTTCTGATTATAAAGCTATTGCATGTTTATTATTAAAAATATTATAAATTATAAAAAAGAAAATAAAAGTAACACAAAAAGGAATTAATTAATTCTGTTTGGGGTTTGAAGTCAGAGGAATCTTCTCAGAGGTAGTAGTACCATCTGAGCTGGGTGTTGAATGGTAAAAAATAATAATGAGTCAATTAGAGGAGGAAAGAGCGTTCTTGGCAGACAAAACAGAAAATGCAAAGGCACAAAGGCATTTATGTTTGAGGAACTATAAATTTTTTGATATCACAGAGCTCTGTGAGATCAGAGACTGACTGTTTTTCTCATTGTATTCAGAGTTGCCTAGTACAGAGCCTGGAGCACAGTGGACAATAAATATTTGCTGAACAAAAGGAGGAATGAGAAGGAGCCACTGTTCCATTTTAGGGAGCCTGGATTTACTTAATCTTGTGCCTCCCATTGAACCTAACCGGAAGCCAGTGGGCAAGGGAGTGTTGGATATTTGGTTTGCAGGAGTCAGCCCATGAAAAAAGAAGAAAAGGTAAGGGAGTGGAACTGAGCAAGTAGGCAAATGATTCACACCTTGTATGATGTGGCACATGCCTACCTCTCTAATTTGATCTTCTGTGTTCCAATAAACAGGCCTCCTTTTCATTCCTTGGACATACCAAGACACTGCAGCACTAGCAATTAAATTTCATGATCTCTACAGTGGCAATCTTGAAAGCATGTACTATCTGTTTGAAGCTTCCATCACTCTGGGGACTTAAGTGACAATAATCAGCAGAGTCTATGTAGTGGATAGTGTGCTGAACTACTCAGATTTACCCTTTAGGACTGAAGCACAACCGCTCCCAATCGCTGGAAATGTTGGAGGCTGACAGCTCTCTCAGCTGGGTCCCTTTCTGGGGTTGTTCTTTGCTGAAGAAAGCTCTCTATACCAAGGTCATCTCCCTTTTCTAGGTGCAGCCCTATTGGATATGAGAATATAAAGACCTGGCCCCCTGCCTCAATTTAGGACAACACTGAAGGTCCATCCCTTCGCAGAATCTGGTTAAAGCCTTGGTTGCAACTTTTCCCTCTGCCTGATCTTATGACCCTCCATCTCCAAAGAGATTGTTCTTGAGAACACTACCCCATAATCTCTTGCATGAAAATCGAAGAGTTTTAGTGTCTGTTCTCTGGTAAACTCCACTGTGGTAGGCTATCTGCTAACTTGTGTCAAAAAAAGTAATGTGTGAGAAATAAACCTTTGTTGCAATAAGCTGCAGAGATGTTTGTTAAAACCTAGTTTATCCTGACTAGTACAGATACCAAAACTTGCCTGCTGTGCTAATCCTTTGTCTTTATCAGAATGAACTCTCTTGTCTTAGTGGACAGACTGTCAAATTCCAGTTCTTCTCTCATGTTTTTTTCTCATAGTGAGTTAACAGCCAGGTCTCAAATGGAGTAACAAAAGTGGAAGAGGGTTGCCTAAATGGTTGTCTACTAATTATCATGTCAGTGGCATATATTTCTTTCATGTGAATTTTCTAGGACCCTTTCTTCTTTTCTTTATAATTTATCACATATTTACAGTATGTACAAGGGTATTTGTTGTTTCTTAGGAAAATGTTTATGCAAATAATAATAATCAAGTATATACTTGATCCCAATATGAGAATCCAAAACAGTAAGCTATCAATTAATAAACTTTCTGTACCTTAACATACTTAGCATCCTATTTCTCTGAGTGCTAGATTTGATTTCTTGAAAGTCAAATGGTAAAACAATACCAAGAGTTTTTTAAAAAAAATTTTAGGTCTCTTGGGCAAAACAAAATATAGTAATAAAGCTAGTGAATCAAAGCATACGCACCTCCTAATTTTTAAAAAAGAGGATTTTACTTGATAGAAATATTTCTCTCTGCCTGAGGGGTATGCCGTATAAAAGTATTTCCACTACAAAGAGTCTGAGAATCCTAGACTGGTAATACACAACCTCTAATTATAGAAGATATTCAGTGTGATAACAGCAACTAGTTTATGGAATGTAGAGATTTATTTACATCAAGTTCAGAGAAAGAGATAAAAGAGGACTTGAAGAGAGTCCTCCAGCAGTGAGTAATGCATCTTTGCAAATGCCCTAAGCCAGAATGAAAGACCAGCAAAACCAGCTTTCAGAATAACCCTTCCGCTCAGTATGAGAAGGGAAGGCTAGATTTCATCTCTAAGATCGCCCTCCCACGCAAATTTTCCACCTAGCAGCTAAGAATTAAATCCAGACTTCCGATCATGGCGCCACGCACTTTGCTTTCTACCTTCTCCCCCAGCAAAATCCCACCCAAGTTGGTCTGATCCCGTAGGGGTGTGTAAGGGCTGCAGGCGAGGTAGGTGGTGGAATCTCTTCCCCTATTTTGATTTCTTGGGATTTTGCAACAGAAAAAAACGACCAAGCCGATCCTTTCCAAATTCAAGGGAGCTACGTACAGGATCTTCTGTTTCCTTGGGTGCGAAGACTCGATCCCACTCCACCCCGAGGCAGCAACTCCTTACAGCAATTTTTTTTTTCTTTCCCATGGCCCCCAGATCCCCTAAAGCCCTCCAGCCTTTGTGAATAAAGGTCCACCTTCGAAGTGGAAACCTCGCTGCAGACAGATGTGTACATAGATGAACAGCAGGACGGTGTATAGAATTTTGAGTTTCCTTTATGGCTTCGCATCCTTTGAAATGTTCAGTATTCCTGTCATCTAAGGAGGGCCACCGGAATGGGTGCTTGAGGAAAGCCGGACACTGATAGGAACAAAAATATCAATTTAGGTGTGGTCTTTCCAATTCCGGCTTTTGTTTCAGTCCGCGAGGGGAGGCCGAGAAAGCCGAGGTCTCGGGTCTGGGAAAAGCGTGACTGGCTGGATTCTTAAGGCTACGGAGAGGGAAGCCCCAGCATCAACAAACAATAGGAGCAGTTTTGCCCCTCAGGACTTTACGCCCAGTCGCAGAGAAGACCGCGACGCCAGCTAAATCACCCAGCTAGGAAGAGTTTGCCAAAGCCTGGGCAGAAAAATGTGGCTGCTCTCTCAAACACATACACACACACACATCCCAAAGAAGTGTTCGCCTGTGGAAGTATATGTGCAAGAAGCAGAAAAGCCACTTCCATCACCAGCTGCCGGCCCCACCCGGCCCACGCCAATTTGGGTGAGACTAGCCGCGCGAAGGCTGTCGTGTCTGCCTCAGCCAGCCCCTGACCGAGGGGCGGGGCCAGGCGGGGCCGCAAGCGCGCAAGCGCAGAGCTGCTTCCTCGCGCCACAGCCACTGCTGCTGCCGCTGCAGCGGACGGTCGTGCAGCACCACAGGCCCGAGACAGACTGGGCCGGGAAGAGCCGGAGGCGGAGGAGGAGGAGGTGGAGAAGGAGGAGGAGGCGGTGGCAGCGGCGGCGGAGGCGGGGCGTCTCCGTTGACCGAGCGCCGCAGACTGGCAGCTGCGGCGACTCCCCCCTTTGTGTCTGGTCTGCTCGGAGCCACTGGAAGTGCTTCCCGGAGGGGTGCTGGGTGTCTCGCCGCTTCAGTGTCCACCTCCCCTTCCCAGCCATCTACATCCGCTCTCCCGCCGTCCCCCGCCCTCGGCCCCCGACGCCCGAGCTCCGCCCGGAGCTCAGAACTGCGGGAGAACGAGGCGGCGGCGGCGGCGGCGGCGGCGGCGGCGGCTTCCTCTGAAGGGGGGTGGATGGGAGGGTTGTGATTCGCTTACGGGAGCCATTGACGGGAGAAGACAAGGCTTTCATGGTGGAATTTACCTCCAGAGAAAACGAGCGGTAGCAATAAAAAAAGAGAAAGAGGAGCGCACCCGGGAGGGCTAGAAAAGGCAGCCTCCTCCCGGCACCTCTCCGCCCGCTGTCTCTGGGAGCGCAGGGCCCAGCCTGCAGACCCTTCCCCTCCCCCGCTTCCCACTGCCCTGAGCCCTCCGGCCAGACCCTCACAGGATCGTTCCACGAAGGCGTGGAGGCTGTGAGTTTGTCCATGGAGACAGACACCTTTTTCGATCCACTGGAGGAAGAGAATTTGGTGTTCTCGAAATTGGAGTGAAGGAAGCACCGAAACGAAACTCAAAGGAACCCTGCCCTCCCGAAGTCGCGGGCTATGCGTCTCGGGCCGCCGGGCGCCGAAGCCGCCGCTGCCGCTCGCCGGGCTTCGCCTTTCCCGGCAGTGGGGAACTAGTTCTGATCTTCGGCTGCCCCATCGAATCCCCGCTCTACACCCCTCTGCACCCTGGATATGTTTTCTCCTAGACCTGGATATTTTTTTGATATCGTGAAACTACGAGGGAAATAACTGCGGGGCTTGCTTCGTGTCTCCCTGCTTCTCCCCACGGCATGCCTTCAGTTTGCGGGGCAGAGGCACCCGGTCCTAGGCGAATGAACCCCCCGAGCCGCGAGGGAGAGAAATGAAGGGAATTCCTACAGCGGAATGAAAGCTCTGCAGCTAGGTCCTCTCATTTGCCATTTGTCCTTTCAAACTGCATTGTAATACGGCCGGGTAAGTCAGACGGGAAAGAAGGCAAGCCTCCCGGCCGTGTTTCTCCGCCTGTGTTTACTTTCCATATTTCTTTTCTCTGCTCTCCTGCTTCTTGGCCGAACCAGGGATGACTTCCTTGCTGCAGCGGCCCTGGCGGGTGCCCTCTCTTCTGTGGACCGTCCTGTTGGTCAGCACTGCGGCCGGTGAGTAGCCCAGGCTGGCGCGTCCGGGCCACTTACCCTGCGGGTGGCGAGGGAGGGATCCCGCAGAGGCCGAGGCCTGCGATCGCCCTTTGATGCGTCCCCAGATCAGTGTAGAGGGAACCGCGACCGTGTACCTGCACTCCTTTCCCGATCCATCCAGGGAAATAACCTTTTGTGCTTTTGTGTAGTTTTGAGTTCCCACTCCCATATTTCCCACCCCCTCACACCTCCCTTGGGGGGTAAAAAGACATATTGGGTGTGGTTTCTTGACATTTTTAGCTGTGAGGTAATGCAAAGATTAAAAATATTTTAATCACCAGTGGATAGTGTCTATTATGAGATCTTTGGAAACAGAGCTGTAGATTTTCTTTTTTTAATATGAAGAAGCGGATTTGACTTACAGTAAAAAGGACATCAACTATAAAACACATTTGAACCTTATTTTTAGATTTAGAACACTCTTTGGGTATCCATGTTCCTTTCATTATTCAAAAATGTTATGAATGAATTGAATAAAATGTGAGATTCTTAACACATTATGTAATACTTTAATTATTTTTATCATTAGTGTTATTTTGTTCCAAAGCATTTTAGTGATTATATTTGCACCTTTTCTATCTGGATTCTATGCTATTTTATATACTTTTGGAAATATGAAGGTTTAAAGATATTTGTGATCTCTTTACATTTAGTCATCTGGCATTTATTGGCAGTCCTGTCATTGAAACAACTTTGACCTCACATCAGACTTCTAGGAGATTTGAGTCCTGAAAGTTCTTTGTCATTTTACTGAAGTTTAAACAAAAATGCTAGTCATCCTTTCCTTATAATATTTTCTTTTTCATTCTCAGACACCTCAAAAAAAAGCCCCATGTTCCTTTTGCGATTATTTTTCAAACAGTCTTTGGATGATAGGTTTTTTTAGAAATTTTTAGGAGTGGATTATACATAAAATTCTTAAATTTGGTTTAGGATGGCTTAATAGATTATGCCTTTAAAAACTAGTCAAGGACAACATGACAGTTTTTCAACTGCTTTTTATTTTTATAAGTATTTTTCATATTCAGTAAATTTCTCATCGCTATGTTAGACATAGAAATCTGCATTGGGAAAATATTGAAAGAAAATTTGAAAAATTTTTTTTGTACTTTTGATGTTTTTGATTAATGTCTATTATGCTTATGATAAATTTTATAGTTGCATTAAAATATTAACTTCTGAATTAACTACATTTGAAAACATTAAATATTCTTAGTCATTACAGTTCCTTTTGGGATAAAAATGAATTATTTTTACTAGATTTCTTTATGTTGTGTTAGCTATTTCAATTCTATAGCCATAAGTTATGTGGTTCCTGTAAAACATAGAGAACATAAAAGCCTTAAGCTTAAGCAGTCATTCTAAGAGCAGAAGTCTCAAAGCATAGATTTTTCAGTGTTCTTTCTTATTTTTGACCTTTTTTAGCATCTAGATTCTCATTTATAGTTGACAGGCTTATTATTTTTATAATTAGAACTGATTAAAAGAAAGAACATTGATTTTTAAAATGAACTTAATTTCTATTTGATAAATAAAATATTAGAATAATGTCCTTTCAAAGGGATGAATTAAAAGAATTACTGCTTACAAAGTGGTTCAGTCTTCTTTAGCAGTAGATAGCAGCAGATGCCCACATTTGTGAAGCTGGATTTCAGATCTATAACAGCAGTAACAGCTAGTATTTATTGCTTGCTATGTGCCAGCAATTATTCTAATATCTTTACATGTTTTTTTCATTTTATCCTCAATTCTATACTGCAGGTTTAATTATGTTCTTTTTATAGAGAGTGCGAGTAAAGAACAGAGAATTTAAATAACTCACTACACAGTCAGTAAATTGTGGAGCCAAAATTATAGCCTGCACCCTTACCTACAACATTAATGATAACAACAACTTCTTACTCTAATTGAGAACATGAGATAGAGTAGTGTCTTCACCCAGATCAGCCTTTGCAAAGAGCAGGGACACTTAACATGATCTTTGTATTGCACTGATTATGCAAATGTCATGGTTCTAAATGTGTAAACGTTTGCTTTGCTTAATGTTGGAGTGGCTAGTGCAGTTTCATTAAGTGCAAGGTAACTAAAGAGGGCATGTGTAGATTTGGGGATACATAGATACAGTGATGTAACCAAACAGGTGCAAATAGTACAGCTGAAAGGAAAAAATACTAGAAGACATATTGATATCACATCCCCCTTTGGGGGGGTCATGGTTATTTATTTTGAATCCTTCTTTTCCATTTACTCTATATAGTTCTTGTATTCTTAATTCTAAGAACAATGGGTATGCAGAACACTAGAATTTATAAAAATATATGCTTGCTTGGTTTTTAAATGAATTAGTTATTTTAATAAAAAGATACAGTACAATGCCATACCTTTTGAAGGGTAAGCCTCTGCACAATTTTTTTTTTCTTGGAAGAAGAAAGTTACCAAGTTTATTTAGTTTGTAATTGTTACGGATAATGTATCTAACTCTATATCCCACCCCACCCTATGCACCCCCCTGAGCAGGTTAGCTACCCTATACTTCCAGTCTTAGTTCTTGTCCTTGCCTTGGTCGGGGCCTAGGAAACTTTCTCTTTACCTCTTTAGTTCTTCTGGCTGCTTGAATAATTTAAATGATTTAAAGCAGATTAACAGGAGAAAATCAAATTTAATATGTGTGCATGAGGAATTCACATAAACACGAAAATTCTGAAGATAGTGAGAGAAAATGAGATGTACTCTGTGTATAATTTTGAACCGAGGAGGGGTGAGGTAGTCAATGCATATGTGCTGAGGTTAAAATGCTAAGGTTCCTTTCCTGAAGCAGATTTTTCTATCTGAATCTCTTTAGGCAGGTAAGGGGGAAGTAACAAACTCTTTTTGAGTTTATTGGGCTTTAATTGTTTTCAGATAAAAAATAATCTGCATGCCAGGGTGGCATATTTTTGAGAGACTCACTCCTGACTCCCACACCATCCTTAGTCACTTGGGAGGCCAGGGAGCCCATGACATTTTGAGTAGCTTCATTGTGAGGATCCACACCTGGAAGGGTCTCCAGGACACTCTGAAGGAACTGGGAGTCCTGCATCACATTATAATCCTCCTTGGCTGGCTCAGATGTGTCCATGGCTGAATTGACATCAGTGGCACCCGATTCTTCCTGCACTTGAAGTAATTCACTTGACTAGATTTCAGTTTTACGTACATCTCTTTATGAACACACACATTCTCAGGCAAGATTCACTTATTAGTGTTCTTGAACAGTTAATGAATATTGTTGAGGAAATGGAAATTTAATAATCTTTATTTTGGTGTTTCTCAAGATATGGGCACTGCAACAGGATCACCATTTCTTCTTGATAAAATGCATATTCCTGGCCCACAGTTTAGATGTACTGAATGGATCTCTCTGGGACCTATGTATTTTTTAAAAACTTAAATCCCAAAGATTCTCACTCAGGCAAGCTTGAGAACTACTGCTTTATGTAATTAATCAGTCTTGTCCAGATTTTGAAATACTGTGATTCAGTCAGCTTTTGCTGAATAATAATTGGCAACCACAAAATCATAGTGCTATATAACAATAAGCATTTATTCTGCTTCAGTTGTCTCATTCTGAGGCCCAGGCTGGAGGGAAGGGTAAAATCTCTCTGGGGAAACTTGTCTCATGGCAATGGCAGAAGTACAAGAGGATAAGCCGAATCCCAAGAGCCCATTTTGAGACTCTGGTCCTGTAACATCTCACTGGCCAAGCCCAAAGACAAGGGGTAGCAAAGTACACTTTGATTATAGTGAGGCTGTGGTATTGTATGGATGCGTAATACTTTACTGGGGGCATGAAGAAACCAGACCTTTAACCTACCACATATGAGCAGGAAGATAGTCCAGGAGGGAGCTTCTCTTTACCATTTGAACAGAGTCAAACTCTTAATTAGACCTTTTTGGTTAGGCCGACACTCAAGCCACACCAGCCAGGGCTAGCTTATACTTTTATTTTGGCCATTTTATTTTCCCTCTCCTTGTGCAAAGAAGAAAAATTACTTGGTAGTAGAAACAAGTTTCTACTTTTAGTACATTTGGTTTTACTTTTAGTATATTTGGATGAGAATTGTTGACAAAAGAGTTAGTGCTAAACTAAATTAGACAAGACTGTTTCAGTTTTGGTTACAAATTAATATTCCATGGAGCCCTACAGGTAGATAAACTGCATATATTAAATTTCTCTCCACCAAAGAAGAATTGTATTTTGATTTGATTGATGTCTGCTGAAAAAAATTAAATATCAGTTCTATGATATCTAGGAAATCATGAATTTTTACCAACTTATGTATGTAACACTTATATGTGTTGAAAAGACTCTTATGTTACCAAACATTTCCCCTAGTCTTTGAATCTCTTCCAGAGCAATAAAGATGACATTGGTAGAATTTTGAGAACAGTAAACTTGATTTGTTTTGTTTTTCTTAAACTTTTTTTTGTTGTCTGTATTACAAAAACACATCTAAATTTTTATATAGTCTGTGTCAGCTTAGAAATTGGCCTGTAAATAAATGACATGAACATTTTAGAATACATTGCCTTATCAGAACTATTAGTATACAACATTTATTGCTTGCTTTTAATTGCACTTAACATAGTGTTTGATCAGACCCAGTTTCTATTCTAATATTCACCCATGGGAGCAGCTGAACAGGTAGGGGAAATTAATGGGATAGATGACATATAGAAGGAGAAATAAAATGTCCAGTCAACAAACATTTATTAATGCTTCCTTTTTGCAAAGTTCTTTTTTAAATGTAGGTGGATACAAAGAAAAATAAGTGCTACACCTCCTCCCCCAACCATCTCATGCCATAGCCTATATCACTTTACAAAAGAGAATTAGATCTCATGCTATTTAAAGCAAAGGTAGGTGTTTTGCAAACCCTTAGCATTGTATTATTTCTTCTCTGTCCATCCTTTCAAGAAAT